ACTTGTGGATTTGGCATGCTTTTTTCGGTGTCGCGGGCTCGAATAACGACATCAACGTTCTCGATCAATCCCCTGTTTTTGATGATTGGGTTAATGAGACCGCACCGGACTCCTCTTTTGAGCTTAGAGGGACGCTTTACAAGCGTGGATATTATTTGGCTGATGGAATATATCCGGATTATTCCACGATTGTCAAATCTCTCTCCGAACCAATGGGTCTTAAACGCCAAACCTACAAAAAAGCTCAAGAGGCGGCGAGAAAAGATATTGAACGAGCATTTGGGGTCTTGAAGGCTAAGTGACACATTCTAGATTGTCCGTCGAAATGTTATTCTCAGACAAAAATGAGGAATATCATGTACGCATGTATTATTCTTCATAATATGATCATAGAGGATAACGGGTCTGCGATTTGTCAATACAACCCGGACGAGGAGGTGTCTATGTACGAAGAAATCACCGAAGAAAAAGAAGCGACGCAACCGCCAAGAAATTCGAAGTCGAGAGATTCACAATGCACTAACGGCGGATTTGATCGAGCATATCTTTAGTCGTTCGAATAATTAGTGATTTCTTTGTACTGTTGTTTTTTTTATGTAATTTTTTTTAATGTTTTTTTTATGAATGTAAGATTTTTTTATAATGAATTTAATTTTTTTTATGCAATAGTGTCACTGCGATTAATTAAAATAATAAATTAATTTAAATTTATAAATTTAAATTTAGAAGATGTATATTTAAAAATGTAAAAAATGGAGGTTTGAAGACCCAGTTTGAAGCCCCGGGGCTTCAAAACCATTTCCAGTGAGTTTTGGGTGTAAGTTAAAGCTGACGTGGCAGAGAGAGAAAGTTTGAAGTCCCGGTTTGAAGCCCCGGGGCTTCACCATTACCAGTGCTCTTAGTGTTGGAGTTGCTCTTAGTTATAAGTCAATTAATTTAGTTTTCATGTTCAATGAAAATTAGTTAATGTGGAAGAAACGAAAATGTAATCTAATCAATAATAAAATACTCGGTAGATTATTGACAAGGAGTGTATCAAACTGTCAATCAAAACTCAAAAGTAGAAGCGTAAATATCAATTTCCACCAAAAGCCGAGACAAAAGTTTTTAATGGGACGGAAAGTAGTATTTGCATAGTCAATAACAAGCTGGAAAACGACACATGTATATCTGATTATATGAATAAAAAAATTACTCCGTAATCCGTATTTACATTACAAACAAAAATTGAATTATATGGACACAATGGGGTGTTTTGCCAGTTTTTACAGTGATCCTTTGAATCTGGCAGAGATGATTCCTGAGATTCTTTGGATCTGTATCAACTCCTAATAAGAAAGAGAGAAATTAGAAGTTCTAATGGATTCAGATCTTCCCGAATGCCGCTGGCTTGACGTTAGCGAAGAAGCCGACCAGTTCCCGCCGGTACGGCAAATACGATTTCCGTTTCTCGCCTTCCTTTGCCGCTTTACTCCTCAAGTAAAACGCCTCGTGAGCGGCCATCGGCGGCGCAGCCGCGGCGGATTTGCTCTTCTTCTTCTTCGCTTGTGTTTTTCCGGCGGCCTCCGTTTCTACGCCGGGCCGGTTTGCCGCCTTCGAGGTTTCGCCCGTTTTCGGAGTCAAAAACACGTAGCGGTCATTTCCGTGACTGTTGACCCGACACAACAAGTCTCGGATCCTCCTCGGCATTGAGTGAGATCCGGTAGAACTGCTCTTCTTGCCTAAGCTAGAAGACGGCGATTCATCGATCTTCTTCGGACGCCACACGCAGTACGTCCCCGGCGGCACGCAGTCCAGTTCGTCGGCATCAGACGACGACGATGACGACTGCGGCTGCTCGTCTAAGAACAGATTCTTCAACGACGATATCCCTGCGGAACTCTCACGGAGCGCCTTGCCTTCGTCTCCTCGATCTGGATCCCGAAAACCTTCATCCAACAACAGATCTCGGTTGAAGACGGGGAATACCGAACCAATTTGACCGTCGTATACGAATCCGCCGGGAAAAGCGTCGAAATTCTCCCGAACAAAAGAGAATTCAAAATCATCCTCATCGTCATCTTCCTCTTCCTCCTCCTCCTCGCCGTGCTCCGCCGCGACAGATCCAACAGGCGGCGGCGGCGGAAATCCATGATCATCAGAGGTATTATCGGTGATTCCGGCCAGTGCAACAGAAGAGTAGCAGCTGTTGAAGCTGGGGCTCAAGAAACGATCTTCGTCCATTATTTTCTGCATTTTTTGCTGGTAGTCAGGGAGATCCATATAGAAATGGTGGGTGTGGATATACGGAGGGTATATATATAGAAAGGCTGTGGGAGTGTATGTATATACGGAGTATATACACGGCGAGTAACGGTGACGTAACGGCTCACATTAAAAGCCCGGCTTATGCGGTTGGGTAGGAAGCATGGGAGGGGTGACTCGGGGTTTCTTCCTAAACACGATTCGGGACCCGATATGGCTTCTAGAATTGTGCTTGTCTGTCAATTGTCAAACGCCCGCGTTTTATTACTCTGTTTCATCTCAAATGTTCTAATGGTTTGGCAACTCTATTTCTTTCTATTGCTAGACTATATTGATACTCATTTTGAGTGTCATATTATGACACCTTGTTCAATTGAGACTCCAACGTGGGAATGACAACGGGTCAAGTTTAATTCAAATTTACCCAACTTAGTTTAGGTTTGGGTTTAAATTGGATGGGTCAAATTTGGATATAATTTTTTTCAATTCGAAAAACTTTTTTCTTTTTTTTCTTGTCCCACAAAATCTTTCTATTTTTAATTAAAAATTACTTTTGCCCTTACTAATTTTTAACTTATCACAACATACCTTTTAACTAATAATTTACCCATCAAATTCTACTTTTTCATCACATCCTACTTTTACCTATCACATCAAAGATATTTCTAGAAAACCAACACAAAATATCTCTTCCTTAAATTTCTTAAAAGTCAAAATGATACTCCCTCCGTCCCAAAAAGTTTGTTACGTTTAGAAAAAATTGTGTCCCGTAAAGTCCGTTATAGTTCTAATAAAAAAATCACTTTTACCCCTTACTTTTTCATACCCTACCTATCACATCATACCTTTTTCCTAATAATCTACCCATCACATCCTACTTTTACCCATCATATTAAAGGTATTTTTGGAAAATCAATACCAAAATATCTCTCCATTAATTTCCCAAAAAGTCAAACAGTCCCATTCTTTTTGGGACGGAGGAAGTACATCTTTAATGGGAGGAAGTATGAGTCTATTTCAAGAAGTTGACCTCCACCTTAAGAAGAGTAGTACAATGGTACTCATGTAAATGTATAATTTAAATCTAAATTTTTTGGAAAATTTCAGGGTTAACAACATTTTTAATTAAGTTGCAAGAGTTACTGTTGTCATTTAAAACTAAGACTTTCAGTCATGCATTTGCTTTCAATCGTGAAACTACAATATAAAGTTGAACGTGAGCAAATTTATATTGATTTGGTTAAAAATAGTCTAACAAATGATAATGTTTGGCCTTTATTCTTATTGTCTTTTTTGAAACTTAAATGGACATTCAGGAAGATGAATATATCATTTTTTAAGGGAGTCACATGTCTTTTTTTAAAGAGCAATATGTCAAATTTTTAGAATTTGAAGTCTCAAATTTATATATAAAGTATTCACATGATAATATTTCATGTGATCTTCTAACGATTGATAAGTGCAATGGAATAATAATATAATAATTTAATCATTTCCCCCATCTTTTTTCATATGAGATGGGTCTGTCACTTTATACATGTTCAACTCCACAAAGTTGCATGATACTTCCTATACAAGGAGTGTCATTTTGGCTTTTTACTTAAGAAAATTTACCTAAATAATATTAAAACATAGTGACTTTTTCAATCTAATATCATATGTGTTTGTTTTCTAATGTAGTATTACTAGTCATTGTCCACTCGTCATTGTTCAAGTAAATGTTCATCGCCACTGGACATTGTTCAAACTAAACATCCAACAGTACTGGACATTATTCCCACCTCTAGACATTATTTAAGTACTATTTAGTAAAAAAAATTAAGTACTACATTGAAAATGACATATGTTTTAGTACTATTTAGTACAAATTTCACCTTTACTTATTACGCTATGGCACTAGTTAAATAGCGCCCCAAGGACAACTTATATTTTAATTATACGATGCTTAACATGTCAAAAAAATGCCAAGTGGATGGTACACATGCTAAGTTCTTCTCAATTTTTAATTTTATATAAAGGATTTGTCCTAATTATGCCATTGCATTTTTTGTGTGCCCTCATTCTAAAATTAGGGATTTTGAAACTTTTATGCAATGTTACTTTAGTTGTTTTTAGATTATTTTGGTAGATACGATAGCACATTTATTGATATTCTTGGTTGCATTTCCCCAAGTACATTCTTATTTACTACTTCGTACTTTACACAATGAATTCCACACTATTTACGGTAATCCTTCTGAGACTGTTGACAAAGAGGCCAATACATCTTTTTTGAACGAAAGTACTTCATTAATCACGATCACAAAAAGATAAGTGCATACAGCATATTTCAGCGACTACGACCTATAGCTAACAAACTTTACATCACTTTCATTTGAATATAGCTATTGACATGGTATTTTAGCCACATAGCACACTCTTCCATATGGGTCTTTGTTAGTGTGAAACTTAGCATTTTTGCTCCACCAAATTGCACAACAAGTTGCATAAGTCCCAATAATGATGGTTCTCATCTTCTTTTGAACATGTAGCAGGAAATTCTTCAGATGCATTAATGAAAAAAAAAGTCAAGTCCTAGCTTCTAATCTCAAAGTTTGGTTAATGAGAATTCTGTGTGTCTAAATATTCATTGTAAGTATGAAGAAAACATGCATAGAATTCAAAGTCTACCCATGGTGGAACGACAAACAACATGGCTATGTTTCCCGTTATGTCTCATTTGGATAAGCAAGTATTATATATGCCAGCTTCTAATATTGTGATGGAGAAATAGTTTAGTGCAAGTTGAAATACGTTAATTGGATACCGCACAGAATTGAGTGTCAAGACCCTTGAAACACTCTTTCGCTATTGTGATTGATTGTTAACCCAACGTAAACAACAAGAAATGACATTTATAACAAACCACATACACTTCATATAAAAAAGTATAAGTTTTGATGAATAGTTATTGAACGGTTCATTTTTTATTAATAAATTGTATGATTAATAGAATTTACGAGCATCTACGTGTCAGATTGATTGCCCTGCAAAATATTGAGGGATGCTCACCAAGGTTCAATTTATAGACCTTGATTTACTGTGAATCATTAGATTGAGAAAAATATAAACAAATACTAAATAATAATAAAGTCAATAACACAAAAAATGTATACTATGTTTGGATTGAGTGGAATAAGGGGAGGGGATGCGAGTTAGAGGAGAAGAGATAATTTTTTGTTCTTGGAGCGTTTTGGAAGTAATTGAAGGGTGACACATTTGAAGGATTGAAGGGATGGTGTCCACCACCATTCTAACTTTTTTATTTTTAATTCGTCCAATTTGGGATAAAATAAAGGAAAGAGAGAACATTTTTTTGTAAAATTTTTAATCTAAACAAGATATCATTCTTCTCCTTTTTCCCATTTGGAAGAAAACTAAAATATGACTACTATTTAGTGGCAACTATGCCAAAGCCTTCCAACAAATAATGTGAAAAAATGTCAAGAGACACTACCTCATTCTCATACCCATACAGTATCAAATGACGTAAAAGTCTAAAATAATGCCCACGACATTGAATTGACAACATAGTGGAAAGTTGAACATCACAATGCCAAAAAAAGTATTAAAAAAATAGTGCTAAAATCCAACTCCTCAAATCTACTAATCCATCATCCTAACCTATTGTAGGATGAAGATGAAGTAATGCAAAGTCGATTGTCCCTGCTCCCACTCCGTAAACCTTGACTATCACGAAAGACGGCAGGGCGTGTCTATATCGTATCAGTGTGGTTCCTTTCTCTATTTGCCACTCTCTCCCGAGATGCTTGTCGTTAGAACCAAATTCAAAGTCGCCACTATTGGTAATCAAAGTCAAAGACATGAATCGCCGCCACTTGCGATATAAGCCAAAGCAATGAGACTATGGATTCCTCCATGATCTCGGCGTGATAGAGGAAAAAATAGAGGCGGAAGTTGACAGATAGGAAAATGCGGATCTCTGTAAATTGAAAGGGGAATGATATACAGTGTAATTAGCGCCATGGCTAAAATTGTAATGGGCACTCATATTTTAGAAATTAAACACAAAGATCCTATTTTAGGCATAACCTCAATGTTTTCCTTCAAGTTAAGGTGATTTCTTTTTTCTTATATACCATTCTCTTTTCTCTTTATTAGATTTCTCCATCTAATCTAGACATACCATTAATTTTTTTAATATGTAAAATTTTCTTAAATTTGTAATTATATATTTTTACAATAAACTAAGAACAAAAACTATATGAATTGCATCAAAAATCAAACTAAGAATCATCTAACAACCAAACAAAATTGAGAAAATTACTATTGGGTACCCTATATTTTGGAATAAGAACTACTAGGTACCTTTAGTTTTCAAAACATACTCACACGTACCCAAAATTTTGGAAAACGGACTATGGAGGGACTTTCCATCCCTCCCTCCGTTAAACCAAATTTTCCGTCACTCACAGATTCATCCTCTTTCTTCTCTTCTTTCGGTCTTCCCCAGTTCCCCTCCCTCCTCCTCCTCTTCTTCTTTTTTGCTTCCATACAGCCCCACCTCCCCCCCTTTTCTTTCTTTCTTCTTTGCTTTGATCCAGCCCCACCTTTTGCTTCTATTATTTTTTCTTCTTCTTCTTCTATTATTATTATTATTATTATTATTATTATTATTATTATTATTATTATTATTGGTATTATTATTATTATTATTATTATTATTATTATTTGTTAAAGAGTATCCTACATCGGAACTTGAAGATGAAATAAACCGGTATATAAGCCCTTGAGTTGAACTAACTAATCGATTGAATTCAATCGATTAGTTAGTTTAACTCAAGGGCTTATATACCGGTTTAGTTCCAAGTGTCTTATAGCCCAATCCAGTTGTCCATACCCATCCTAAATTTTATTATTATTATTATTATTATTATTATTGTTATTATTATTATTATTATTATTATAATTACTGCAACTTATTATTGATAAGTATAATTATTATAATTATAATAATAATACTAATAATTGGGTGATTTCGAGCACATATTATCCTTGGACTTGGCGGCGCTGCCCTCTTCCGCTTTATTTTTCAAGAACCAAGAAGGAAGGAAACTAATTATTCTTTCTGCATATTCTCAATTGAATAAGGAAATTAGTTTCTCTAATTATTACCTGTTTTACAACTTTTTTTGTGTCAAATCACAAAATTTTTATTTTGCGATAAGTATAATTATAATAATAATAATAAATAATTCTCCCACTATCCTAAAATTAACTACCCAATTGACTTTTTACGGCCTCCAATGCAATACTTTAACCATCAATATCTCAAATTTTATATAAATATATTTTATAAAAATTATATATTTCAAAACTATGTTTCAAAATGAATCTATTGCTAATAAAGTTATATGAAAATTCAATGTATTTTTTGTGTAATATATAGTCAAAGTTTAAAAAATTTGACTACAAAATTCAAACTGAGAAGTTAATTTTAGAACGGAGGGAGTAATAATAATAATAATACTCCCTAATAACAACAACAATAACAAAAACAACAACAACAACAATAATAATAATAATAATAATAATAATATAAGAAGAAGAAGAAAAAATAATAGAAGCAAAAGGTGGGGCTGGATCAAAGCAAAGAAGAAAGAAAGAAAAAAAAGGGGGGGGAGGTGGGGCTGTATGGAAGCAAAAAAGAAGAAGAAGAAGAGGAGGGAGGGGAACTGGGGAAGACCGAAAGAAGAGAAGAAAGAGGATGAATCTGTGAGTGACGGAAAATTTGGTTTAACGGAGGGAGGGATAGAAAGTCCCTCCATAGTCAGTTTTCCAAAATTTTGGGTATCTGTGAGTATGTTTTAAAAACTAAAGGTACCTAGTAGTTCTTATTCCAAAATATAGGGTACCCACGAGTAATTTTCTCAACAAAATTGAAACAAAATTGATACTTTCTATCACCAGAGAATCTATCATGATTACCTCAAAATAGATAGGTAACAATAATTTTAAAATCGTAATCAGAGTAGACCGATACCGAATCCACGGTAAGGTAAATAAGGTGGTATACAACTTTTGGGCAAAGCCAATAGCCAAGAAAAATCACCATGAAGATCCCTTTATGTGATTCCATACTCATAGACACATATTCCGGAGGCGAATGTGGGAGAAATCACGAGTCCATCTATTCATATTGACCGTTTTCCCATTCACTACCCAATTCTTCATTTATTTCACCCGCCAAATATTAAAATAGAGATTCCATTATTCTATCCCTTCCACTGGAACAATTTTGAACGGCGAGGATTCAATCGCATAATCCGCGGACGGCTTCCTGGCGGCGACGAATTTGGACCCGTACCTTCCTCTACTCTGCATTTCTCTCCTCCACCGTCCATGGCGGAATAGTCCAAAAGGCCTTCAGAGGTCTTTTTCAACGCCAGAAGAAACGACGGGGCTTCAGATTCAGCTCTCCTCGGAGTTCTTTTCTTCTGATCCGCAAACCCTAGGTTCGTTCCGTACGATTACACTGTCACTGTGAGCATGCTGATTGAGCTGCAACTTCGTCCCGCATCTGAACATATGGATATGTATGATGATGACGAAGTAGTTTGTGGTGGATTATCTAATTGCACGTGCTTACTTTCAGTAGTTGTTTATTGTATTCATTGCGTTTTCAATAATTTTATTTTTTAAATCTATGGCAACTTCTGCCGTTTGCTGGCAAATTTAAGCAAATAAACTCATGAGGTGGTTTATTGAGCCAGCTGTAGTCATACGGGAGCTTCATGTGGTATACCCGGTGGGTTGATTGCAGTGCTTAAGAAAATATATGCCTCTTAAATTGCATCGTTCGTTTTATGATTTAACTATACAATGAATTTGCCAGGCTTATTTTTTCTATGTTTACTTAGTTGTTTAGGTGTTGCCAAAAGCCCAAAAGGATACTTAATGTGTTTTTTTCAAAATAAAAAAGTTGCATTTCCTTTCATTCCCAACCATGGGATACAGGTTATGTGTTATTTGGGGCACGATAGAGGATGGTGCCTTTTTCTTCTTCCCATCAGCATGGTCTTATATCCCCTCCGCCTAAATTTTTCTGTCCACTTTTTTTTTGGGGGGGGGGGTGGGGTGGTCCTGTTGCCCTCTTACTATATTTAGTAATCTAATAATTGTGCATGATAAAAAAAAGTACCCCCTAAAGAATATATTAGCATTGTAATTTCAAGGCTTTTTAATCATTTTACCTTCATTACTTAGAACCGGGGGTCTTTCAGAAACAATATCTCTACCTTTTATAGGTAGGAGGTAAGGTGTCCGTACATCACCCCCGGATCCCACTCATGGGATTTTACTTGGTCTGTTCTTGTTGTTGTTACCTTCATTCCCTAAAGTTTGAGATATTTTGGAAAGTGGACATCAAATTCCAGACTAAGGCTATTAACTTTCACAAACACATTTTCCTACTAGTTATGTGGGGCATTTACATGTTCAGTGAGTCCATCAGTGATCAAGAATCAGGAGCATAGGGGATTAGGGGGTCTTGTTCGCATTTTTATAATGCTCTTGAAACTCAAAACTGTAATCTATTCCATGTATGATCATATTCAATTTGTTTTTTTGCCATTGTTGGCATGTTGCTATTGTTAAGAGTAGTCACTGATTCAATTAACGAACACCTCTTAATAGAATGACTGAAACACTGGGACGAAAGAAGGATTTTTTTTCATGGTCAAGGTTGTATAAGATATAAAGATGTATAGGAAGTCAAAATAATGGATGAACCATTTTGTTGATAATCTGGCTTTGCACATTGTTCCGTATGCTTCTTTTCATGACGCTGCTGTCGCAAATTTTTTCTTTCCGCAGGGTTGCATTCCTTAGATGGTACTGGTGATTTGACTGACTGCCACACAGCTATAATTTGAACTTCTACGGTGATAATCAAAGCAGGCTCAGCTTGATCTCAAGTGATCAGCTGCCATCTTGGGTGAACCTGTTACCTGTGCTGGGTTCATCATCCATCGTATTATTTTATGATTTCTTGATTAGTAACTGGTTCAGTGGACCATAGCTTGAGCTATGCAAATTATCTGTTGAAGGGTATGCAATTGGAAGAAAGGCCATGCATTTTCACCTTGCCCTCATTTTCCAGCTTCTTGCTCACTGTTTGTTTTAGAGTTCTGGGTAGAAAGGGCATTTTATGTTGTGACATTAGAAGAGACCATGGAAGAAAGATCAGAGAAAAGGTTCCCTATTACTGCCAAGGATTATGAATTATACGAGGAGGTTGGAGAAGGTGTTAGTGCCACTGTTTACAGAGCTCGATGTGTTCCACTCAATGAGATAGTTGCAATCAAGGTTCTTGACCTGGAAAGGTGTAATAATGACCTGGTATGTAGAACTCTTCAGTATAGCATGTGTTAGTTTTTCAATATCTTACACTGTACATTTGGTTGTGCTTGAGCTAGGGGTCTTTTGGAAAAACCTCTTTACCTTTTTTAGGTAGTGTAAGAGCATCTCCAACCATAGCATTTTAACTTGCTAAAAGTTATAATATAGCTAGCTAAACACTTTTGTTCTTCTCCAAGGGGTGTGCTTTATTTTAGCAAGTTTGCTAAAAAATGACTTTGACTTGTTAAATATGACAAACCCCTCAAACTTTAGCAAGCCAATACTTAAAAAATAAAATAGCAAATTATGGTTGGAGAATGAAATGAAAAAGTGCTTGTTATATCACTATTCACTTGCTATAATGTAAAAATAGTAAATTTATATAACAAGCATGGTTGGAGATGCTCTAAGGTCTGCATACACTCACCTCTCCTCAAACCCCACTTGTTGGATTTCACTGGGTATGTTGTTGTTGGACATAGTACAATAGGTTGCCTAAGGGATGAGTATCTGTTTCTTTGCAAAAACTAGGTGATGATTGAAAGTGGTGTTCTAATTGTAAATAAAACATTTTTTTTGCTGGAGTCCACACGATAATGTTTTAATTGCTCATATTTAAATTATAGTGAACTTTCGTTCTTCTAAACCCATTATAGTCTTCATTCCGCTTAGTTCTGAAGCATTTTTTTTGCAAATTAAATTTGCCATTGGTTAAGAGGAGTGTTCCCTTTCCCTTTTGTTTTTGAAGGATGGGATCCGCAGAGAGGTTCAGACAATGTTCTTAATTAACCATCCGAATTTACTCCGTGCACATTGCTCATTCACTACTGATCATAACCTGTGGGTTGTGATGCCATACATGGCTGGTGGATCTTGCCTTCATATAATGAAATCAGCTTACCCTGACGGTTTGGAAGAGCCAGTAATTGCCACATTATTGCGTGAAGTCCTGAAAGCACTCGTGTATCTCCATTCACATGGCCATATCCATAGAGATGTAAAGGTATAACTTGCATATCTGGCTCCTCTTGTGAATTAACCTATCTCTCCCTCCATTTGATTGAGTATTTGTCCACAAACACATACAAGTGGTCTTATACACATTCTGGAACGGATCATTTGGTTGGTACTTTGGATATTTCTACAGTTCTTTCTTTTCAAAGCATCCACTTACATGGGAACTAAAAGAGGCATTATTGACAATGTTTTAGTTTTGAGTAAATAATGGACTAAATCAAAATGGCACACTAGACAACCATTCTCACTCTCTAAGTAGCTTTGAGAAGTGAATGCAGCAATGCATCAAGAAATCTTTCTGTTTTTTACACAAGCAAGGTTGTGTACATCTTGACCCAGACCCAAAGGAGTTGGAATTATACTGGGGTTGTTGTTGTTGTTGTTGTTGATGTTCTCTCTTGTCAAACTTTCCTCCTGTATACCTGTATGATCTTTACAGTTTTCCTCTACTGCATTTTCCATCCCTTACTGCATTCAAGCTGTTCTTTGGTGTGAGCGTGTGTGGATTGGGGGGGGGGGAGGGATTGGGGAGGGGGCTCGATATTGAAGGATTC